GTGGAGGTGGAGGGGAAGTGGAGGTGGAGGGGAAGTGGAGGTGGAGGGGAAGTGGAGGTGGAGGGGAAGTGGAGGTGGAGGGGAAGTGGAGGTGTAGTGGAAGTGGAGGTGTAGGGGAAGTGGAGGTGTAGTGGAAGTGGAGGTGGAGGGGAAGTGGAGGTGTAAGTGAAGGTGGAGGTGTAACTGTAGGTGGAGGAAAAGTTGAGGTGTAGGTGAAGTGTATCTGTAGGTGGAACGGTGGATTGAGGTGGATGATGTCTAGTTGTAGGTGTAGGTAGATGTTTAATCTTATGTATAAGTGTTGTCTGCAATCATTGCCAAGGGAAATGTATGCGGTCATTCCTATGTAGGTGTAGGACCTCCAATCATTCCTAGGGTATAATAGGAACGCATTATTCCTACGTTATTCGTAAGTAAATCCCAAGAAGAACAAAGTTATCTCACCGGACTGACATGATATTACTGCATAGCTTAGCGCGGGCGGCGGCTGGAGATGGATGTTGAAATTAATATTGGTAACATCACATTGGATTTTAGTAACATTACAATGGATGTTGGCAATATTACAATGGAATTTAATAACATCACAATATATATTGGCAAAATTAAAATAAAGTTTCGTATTATTACAATAAATGTTGGCAATATTACAATGGATATTGGCAAAATTACAATGGGTTTTAGTAACATTACAATAGATATTGGCAAAATTACAATGGAGTTTAGTATTATTACAAAATATATTGGCTAAAAATTAATGAATTTCAGTAACATTACTATAGATTTTGGCAACATTACAATAAATTTTAGTATTATTGCAGTAGATATTGGAAAGCTCACCATGGATTTAAGTAATATTACAATAGATATTGGCAAAATCACAATGAATTTAAGTAACATTACAATAGGTATTGGCATAATTACAACGAATGTTGATACTGCCATTGCTGTCGTCATACAACTGCTAGTAACGCAACATCTCGAACGTTGATACGCAACATCTTGTCTTGTGAGAAGTTCGCGTGATGAGCGTCACACTCCAGCATAGCTGCCTCACATGACACTCTAGCATAGCTCCCTCACATGCCACCCTCACATGGCACCCCCAACGAGGGGGGGGAGATGCCACCTGCTGAGGTACAGACGGTCGAGTCTCAGTAGGCGCCTGGCGGCGGTGCGAGGAGGGTGTGTCGCTGCGGCTCCTGTCCGCCGCCTCGCGCGGTGCCGGCAAATAAATTCAAATCCCCGTCTTACAAAAACCGAGTGCTGGCAATCCAGCGATTAATCGGTTGTGAACTAATATGTTTGAACTACATTTTATTAGTTAAATATACACGGGTTATTTAATTCGTTGATTCAGAAATTACTTATATTGGTAATAAATCGATAAATAAATTTGTGCGATAATTGAAAAACATTCAGTGCTGCCGGTATTCACATTCATGAAAACCTCCTTATGACCTCCTCGGTGAATATGAATTAGGGTTTGGTGCAAAATAATGTTTATTGAGGATAAAAATTTAGGATAATAGCTAATAACTGTTCAAATTATTTAAAAGCCAAAAAAGCATTATTTATCTACGGCAACATGAACCAGGATAACTGAGAATAACCGCTAGCGGTTGGCATGGTTGATTTAGCTCGAGATAACAGAATACGGATAACAATCAGGAATAACACATAATTAAAATTATTCAATTAGTTACGGATCGTGGATTTGGTTAACTAATTTTAACGGTACTGCCAGGGATAACGGTGAAGGGTTTTAACGTTTTACGTGAAGGATAACAGTCATGCAAAACGCCCCGGGAAAACTGAATGTCAGATACGAACAAAATAACAGATCAGGCTCACAGATAACAGATCAACAGGTAAAGCTAAAGCTTAGGTTCGAAGAAGAAAATGATTTTTTTTTTCATGTAAAAATCCTTACAAGAACATGCCTTAGTTTTGGCTTTATCCACTAAAAATGTGAGATGGGCTGTTTTGACTTTTTCTCTCAAAATCTAATATTGTTTAAATTACTTTTCGCTATTATTCTTTATTAATAATTATAATTCTGGAATTCCGCTTCGCAAAAACTTTATTTATAAGAACGGACCTGGTCACCTCGAAACTCAAACTCAGTTGCGATTTTTGGGTATATTAATGAATTTTTTTGTGTAATAATTATTATTAATGTGAGGGCATATTATATAGAGACTCAAACGCTGTAGCGATGTTGGTAAGAAACTTGATTCAGTCGCGGGATTTCAATGAATACGCAGATCGATATTAATGTATATTTAGTGTATGTTGGCAGGATTTGTTCTTTCAAGCAGGTTTCATTGAAGACCAGAGAATTTGTTTTATTGGCAATTATCTTATTGTTTTTTTTTCAATATATCGAACAATATCGCTCTATATATTGAAAAAGTTAATAATAAAATTGCAAATAAAACAAATTCTCTGGTCTTCAATGAAACCTGCTTGAAATTTATTTTTATATAGACATTCATTTTGGTGTAATTGAGCAAAAACTTCTCTTTTATGCAAGTTTGATTAAAGAACAGAGAATGATTTTTATTAATAATATTCTTATTCGTTTTTTCAATAAGTCTAACAAAATTTCTTGCTGGCTCCGGGAGATCAAAAAGCAGGTGGCCAAATGACATTTGAATGGATTGCGACGTTTCAAAAATACAATTCACATTATCAAGCTACCGATAATGCACAACCTTAAGCTGACGACTCATGTACCATCTACAATCTGGAGGACCTAAGAACCACATGCGGGAGGCTCACAATGAGACCATCACCCGAGCGACATTGGAGGCCTGCACCAGCGTAGTTATGCGGTGCCCTGACCCATCGAGACTGGCGATAGCTGAGGCCCTCATTATCAAGAGCGAGTCTCCAGCTATCAACCTTCAAACTATAGGATTCGTCCGGACGCTGAAATTATTTTCAGAGTAATTTAAAGCTTAGATTTTGAATTGTATCCACTATACCATTGATTTGTACTTCTGTCATTTCCAAAGTTCAATTTCAAGTGTTGCAAAACCTTCACCAGCTTGAAAATGAAAATTGTATTTTTTAAACCTCAAAATCCATTAAAATGTCATTTGGTAACCTGCTTTTTGATCGACTTGCGCCAGCTAGAAATTTAGTTCGACTCATTGAAAAAACGAATAAGAAAATTATTAATGAAATGCATGCTCTAGCCTATAATTAAACTTACATATATTCATATATATATATTCGCGCAGAAAAGTGGTGAAAAGCATACAAGAGTGGTAAATAAGAGCGTCATACAAAAATTGTCGCAATAATAATCAACACATGCATATTTGTGTCTGTATATTAGCATTGTATAGATAGTACGAATGAACATAATATGAGTATATATGTATGAGGCAGCAAAGTATATACAATTTACCATATTAGCAGCAGAATAGAAATCTCATATCAATGCCAGACTCGAACCTAGAAACTTATAAAGGCGAGAGAAATTTATAATTAATTTTTCTCTCTCTTGCACGAAAAAAAGTATTCTACATTTCGCTCTATTAAAGCAATCGTTATCAGTTAAATCGTTGACGAAGAGGATGATATCACCACCGGACACACCAGAACAAATATGGCGGACAAGGTAAGGGATGATCAAGGATGTAATTATTTAATTTAATCCAAAACGCAACTGAGGATCAGAATTCATCTGTATTTATTATTAACATTATTTATATATGCTCATATTCGTTGTTTATTCCTGTTTTCTTACAAACGCAAATTTCATTTCTAGGGAAATGGTTTCAAGAAACGGCACCATTTTATTTTGGCACTAACTTAAATATTCATTATTTTAGCTTTATAAGTAATAAAATACTGGTAGCAGAATCCGTGGATTACAATGAAAATGTGTCGCTTCACATTTTCTTAATACAGGGGATTCTCAACTGGCTTTTGAATGTTAGGCTCTTCTCGTAATATTTGCCAAAATATAAATTTTCTGTCATATAATTAAGGAAACTTAATGAACTGATTCATTTTAGTGCTTTACTCTTCTTAATAAATCTATTGAAGACTGTTCTATTACTTTTCACTGAATTTTAACGATATATATACTTGGATCCTACGTATACGTATTTGAGCCATGCAGTAGATATACTTAGGCATGCGTATAACTCAGCTCAGTGATAGAATTAACAATAATGTAAAATTTATGTTGTTAACATTTATTTTGTAATTAATGTTAATAATAATAATGATGTAATTATTGTAATAATGTAATTAATAATTTGATCAAAATTAAATAAATGATAAATTATTATATATTTCTCGAGCAGTGACGTCTCAGCGCCTGCAACAGACACTGCATCAGGTGAGAAAACCAAGTTCCAGGAGAGATGAACTGGTTAACTGGCTAACGCTGTTTTTATCTAGATAGCTGGCTAATGCCGTGACCAATTAACAGGTCAATTGGCTGACGCTGATCTAAATCAACTGGTAAATTGGCTGTCGAAGATTTAATTCGTTCAATGGGTTTATAGTTATTTCTGCGATAAATTGGTTCGTGTATGTCTTTCGAAACATATAAACATTTCTCATACAATGCCCATAAATCAAATAAACTGGTTCATATGTTATCTCAAGTCAGATAAACTGGTTCACATTTTGACTCTAGTCAGACAAACTGGTTCATATGTCGCTCTTGAGTCAGATAAATTGGTCAATATATTGTCTCTAGTCAGATAAATGGTTCATACGTTGTACCCAAGCATGAAACAAGTAATTTGTTCTAAAAAATGGACCAGTCTAAAAAAAAACTAATTTTTTTACTACAAACCACACACCTAATCAATGAAATTACATTTCTTTTTACAAATGGTCTTTGAAAAGCACACATATTAATCTTGGATCCAGGAAACATTTTCTATTTATCGAAGATTGTGACTGTATTTTACACATGAGGTTATCCCGTCTGCGCAGGCAGTTCGCGCACCATGTCTCACCTGCCGCTCAAAAAACGTGGGTTGGCGCGGTGCAGCGGTGGGGGCGACGTCGACTCCGACGACAGTAAAAGCAACTCCCCTAACTGTGGGGACGCATCCATGGATGTGACCGCAAACTCCCCGCCTGACACTCCTCCTTCCGTGTACTCCTCTTACTCCAGCTACCCCTCTTCTATATCGCATATGGCTTCTGCCCTCGAAGATTCCTCCATGTCTTCGTCTCAAGACGTTCCCTCGTCTCCGGCACCATCGACGTCCACGACCTACGACGTGCAGCACTTTGAACCCTTCAGTCCTGAGAACATTTTCAGTCCTGAGAATAGCAGCAGCCAGGCCTCGACTAGCAGCTTGGCGTCAGGCTCCAAGCCAAAGAAGAAGAAGAAATCTTTCGTGTACTTCATCAACCGGAAGCCAATAGAAAATTTTGGCAAAAAAATACCAGACAGAAACCAAATGGAAAGACACTCACCCTCCATGTCCAACACGGGGCCCACAACCTTCCACAACCTTGCGGAAACCCTCGATTTACCCTCTATGCCGACAGGAGTATCAGCCTCTCTTCCGCCACCAGTGTCTCCTAACTTCTACCCTCCCGCGTCTTCGTTTGGCCGTCATTACGACAGCCAAACCTTCCACGAGAACCGCCTTCCACCCTCAGCCTTCTTGCAGTATCCTCATCGCCAGCAGTTCCCGATGGCGGGTCACTTCAGTGGAGGAATGGGCGTCTTCCCGGGCATGCTTCCTCCTCTGGATCGAGATGATGCATCTACACCTTCGACGTCTGGCGGAGTCCGCAAGAAGAAGCCCCAGCAGTGCCGCCTTTGCGCCAACCACGACATATACGAACGGGTAAAGGGCCACAAATACCACTGTAAATTTCGCGACTGCGATTGCGCAGGGTGTGTGGTGACACGTAATAAACAGGTTGCCGTGCGAGATCATGCCAAAATGACAAGAGCACAAGAAAACATGAAACAGGAACAACAACTGTATTCTAACTCACCCCAACCCTACGGGGTTGTTGACCCCCGGAAGCACCTAGCCACGGCTGAGATGGTTAGAGATCTCGAGCTTCAAGATCCTAATTACAACCCACAGGATTACGACGAAGACGACGAGGATTAATTATTTTATCAATTCGGCGTTATTTCTCTGTCATTCGGTCGCCTTTTGCAACGCAATGTCAGAGGTGACAGAACCAACCTGAGTGTCCTGAGCTTCCGCCACTTAGTCGATGGTAGAATAAAGTTCATTTAATACGTGTATACGCCTGTGCATGAGCATGCGTTATACGTGTAAGCGCCTGTGTATGCGCGAGTGTTATACGTGTATACGCGTCTATATGCTGTGAAATGGTTTGCAAATATATAACAAATAAATAGCACCAATAGTATTTTATTGGCGTAACCATATAAACCCGAGTACATAAGCTTACATTAATTAATTCTTTAGGAAAATACTTAATTTTAATTTCAAATGAATTTAATATAATTTCGAAATTTGGGGACAAACATAAGGAAAATCAAATTCTGTGGACCCATAACATATAAATGTAACTTTTTGAAACCGAATTCTTATAACTTCAAACTGGAACGAAGCTTTTTAGCGTATAGTCTCTGCTAAGCTTTTTTGCCGTTTTATTGTTAAACTATATCTACTTCGGCGAACAAATGAAATATTATTTCCAAGATTTTGTGATTAGTTCTTAAGAATATTAGACCTAAGGGATGCTAGATTATATTTATGTACTTGGCAATACATTTGATACAGTGGAGTGGCAATATTCGGACGCGAGACCTAGCTCGCGTTCAACTCTAAATACTCCCATTTTTTACATCAGTTTCATTTTATATGCAACCATCAATGCTTGGATGTGAATGTAGTAGTTGATATTCTGCCGCTTTTTAAAGTACATGATCATTGTTATCACAACCTTGTTTTATTATCATTCTTCCTCTCGTCCCATGAACATATATAGTTGCATTCTTATGCCCTATTGTGAAAACATCTCGAAATCCCGCAGAAAAAAATCAAACAGTGCCAATGTCATTTTCGAGCTGGTAAACGTTAAATGTTTCTCAGAGGAAACGTAGAGAACGCGAGTTATTTTTTACTCAGTATGAATCAGTCAGGATGTACAAATTAATTTCGAAGGATCCCATTGTATACAATCTCAAGAAACGTGTTGTATGGACGCCAGTGCAAATAAATATGTATCAGATAAAATACTAACGTAGGATAGAAGTATTTAGACTCGGAATCATCTTATGTAGCCGTCAATTACAGGTGACTAGCTGCCATGTTGTTGAAATTAATCAGATTACAAAAGCATTCTGCTTCCAATAAAAAAATTTACAATAGACGTCTTCACAGAATATATCAAATTGCAGTAGCTGTTTGCTTCCAATAAGGAAAATTACAGAATATAAAAGCAAAGAAAAGTCACACAAATTCACGATAACTTCATTGAAGCTTTCTCAGAAAGCAGTTACGTCATCAAACGTTTCCGGGACGTTTTCAGGGAAATTTATTTAGAGTTTCAGTTGTACTTAATTTTTGGTGAACTATCAATTTAAGCAAACTATCGATACAAGAAAATTACAGAAGCCATCTGCTCCTCATAATTAAAATCCGAAACAGAACGATTTATGAAACTTTTTAAAAGAGTTCAATGTTCGATATTATTTGACTAATAATATACGAAGATTGGATGAGATCGGAATGTGTAAAGATCGTAAGATACATATAAATAGAGGCATGAATATGGAATAGAAAAATGGAAAATGGAGGCGTCGAAGGAACAATCTTGAACTAACTAATAATTAAGACTTATGGATAAACTCGTCCCATAATCAATGTAAAGATATATTTCTAACCTGAATACTAAATTTGTTATTTCTTGCACTAGAATTATCACAACATTCTCCATCCAATGCGCGAGCTTGAACCTTTCTTCAGTCCTCGTCCTTTGATTATTCCAGACCTTACACTAAATATTCCGTGTATTCGTAAACTATTGAACTAACGATATTCAACCAACCATTTTAATATATACGTACTTGAACTGCTGTAAAAGCAGTGTCGCGGTTCATTCGAAATTACCAACCTACATTTTTTTTCAATTGAACTATTACTGCAGAGTAACCGCATTTTTTCAAAAATTTAAAACAAATTTTCAAAATTAATATTTTTAAAATTAATTTTAAACAAATTTAAAATTAAAAATAAGCACTCATTTAGCCTGTTCAAATCTCTGTTGAAATTTTTATTCATTACAACGTAATACCATATAATGATATAATTAAAATCCGGTCTATTATGAATTCAGTTTCAAATTTTAATGCAAACATCGTTTTGTGATCCCTGATACCAGCACAACAACGAAACAGGCGTTCGTTACAGGCGTTTTATGTCCAGATATCAACAGGTGTTTTTTTCATCGGAACATGCGTTTTAGAAGGCAAAAATGAAATGAATTACGCAGCGAATGAGACAAGAATAAAAAATTCTCTAACTGCTGTCTAGAGAACTCAAGTGCAAGTGATATAAGGGAGTAAGATGAACCCTGTTATTGGAATAGACCAAAGGTCCTGGGTTCAAGTTTGGGGTGAAGTTGTCCCGCGCTGCAACGCGTTGCAGTTGCCAGGGCGAAAAGACGTGTCGGCATACTTCGCTTGTTCAGGCGCTGCTGCTGCTGCTCGTATCCAACCGGACGCTGCCCGATCGCAGCGTACCCGCCTTACCGCGAGACCAGACGACGAAAATCACGGGGCAATTTGTTCCGGCGGAGGGTCGGAAGGGGAGGGAGGGAGAGGAGAAGATGGAGCGACGGAGGGGTGGGGCGTTGTGGACGGAGGGGGTGGAGGGAACGAATGGGACTGAAGGGACAAAGGCGACGGAGGAGAGGAAGAAGAAGGTGTAAGGGATGGAAATCATGGAGGGACGGAGGGGAATGAATAAATGAAGGGAACGAAGAGGACGGGTGGGGTGAAGGGGACGAAAGGAATGTAGAATAGGAAGGGATGGAGGAGACGGAGGGGACGGAAGGGACAGAGGAGAAGGAGGTGGCGGAAAGGTGCAATACTCGAGCAAGAATAATTGATCGCGCTCGCGTGCTGTTGCTGTGCAATGCAAACGATCATCGGACGTTCGAGAGAACAGAGAGTGGAGGTGTGGAAGCGATCTTGCGATTGTGATTGAGGATGAAAACTGCTATTGGTTGCTTGCCTGACGACACCGAAGCCTGAGTTTGTGTAACGTGCCTGGCACTGCTTAGTAACATGGCTTAGTAACAAGGCTTAGTAACAAGGCTTATTAACAAGACTTAGTAACAAGGCTCAGTAACAAGGCTTACTAGCAGGCTTAGTAACAAGGCTCAGTAGCAAGGCTTAGTAACAAGGCTCAGTAACAAGGCTTAGAAGCAAGGCTTACTAGCAAGACTTAGTAACAAGGCTTAGTAGCAAGGCTTAGTAACAAGGCTTAGTAACAAGGCTTAATAACAAGGTTTATAGAAACAAAGCCTAGTAACAAGGCCTAGTAATAAGGCCTAGTAACAAGGCTTAGTAACAAGGCTTAGTAACAAGGCTTAGTAACAAGGCTTAGTAATAAGGCTTAGTAACAAGGCTTAGTAACAAGGCTTAGTAATAAGGCTTAGTAACAAGGCTTAGTAACAAGGCTTATAGAAAGAAGGCTTAGAAAGAAGGCTTTGTAACAAGGCTTATAGAAACAAGGCTTAGTAACAAGGCTTAGTAACAAGGCTTAGTAATAAGGCTTAGTAACAAGGCTTATAGAAATAAGGCTTAGAAAGAAGGCTTAGTAACAAGGCTTAGTAACAAGGCTTATAGAAACAAGGCTTAGTAACAAGGCTTATAGAAACAAGGCTTAGAAATAGGGCTTAGTGACAAGGCTTATAGAAACAAGGCTTAGTAACAAGGCTCATAGAAACAAGGCTTAGAAAGAGGGCTTAGTGACAAGCGTACGTGCCGGAACAAGAAGTTGTTTTGAGGTGTCGAGTGATTTCTTACACAGGCTGGTTAGCCTGACGACAAGCAGCTGCAGAAGGCAACGAATTGACGAGATGGCAAAATAGTTGTTTCATTGTTGAACATATACTAGGAGCAGTTAGAAAATATAAATAACTATATACGTGTGGGAGTCTTGGCCTACTTTGTGACTAATATTGACTGTTGGTTTTATTATTACTGTTCCGGGATAAATATCTGGTCGTTTTGAGGGCTCTTACCCCTAAAAATTAAAATTTTATTTGCTAAGACTCTGTTTAAATGATGATAATTATTGCGCGAAAATAAGGCATGTCAGTGAAATTTTTTACATTATTGATGAACGTTTGTACTGTCATGACGTACGATAATGATTATTTTGACTAATTCTCTTTCTCATTGCAGATGATGAATGACAATCGTTAAAAATTACTCTTTATGCCAGCAAGAAAATAACACATGAAGGGTAGATTTATCGCATCAAAATATAAGAGTAGAACCCCAGCTAATTTACTACCGACTCACGAACGATGATTACGCTATTGAAATTAATGAATTATTTATTATTATTGCCTTCAAATTATTATTAAAATTTTTTTTACTTATTTAGGAGAGGAGATATGCGGTAGGTATAACTGTATTTTTGTGGTGAAACGTGGCATTCGACCTACGGATCGTATGTATGAATGAAAATTTGTAAATTCATACAAGCACTAGTTTATTTTAATATGAATGCCCTAGATTAAAATATACGTTTTATATTTAAAAACTGTGTGATAGATGCAAATCATGAGCAATAACCCCTACATATGTGTATTTTGCAAATCTGAAGTTTAATTTCAATTTAAAATGGACGAACAAGTTATAAACAATCTAATTTACCTTCGGAGGTATCATATAATATGTGACGCGCACGTTTAGAAAAAACCGTAAGAAGTCTTCCCCACAAAGATTTATCTAAACAAACAAAAATCAAGCTATTGAGAATCGTTCGTTAGAAAGCATTAATCATTAACCATATGATACTAAGCTTTTACTGAACATTCTGGTTTATAATTCACGACTAATATTAATGGGCTTATTCAAAATATTCAGCATTTTACATGTACGAAAACAAGAATTTATTGACTTTAAAAAAGATCAACCATGTAAAAAATTGCAAGGCGCTTTTAAAATAGCACAAATTCACGAGTGATATTTTATTTAAATCCTTAAACCTTTGTTGCAATCATATTTTAAAAAATGAAGCAATAAAAATTTGATAAAACCTTATAACAAAGAAACGAATTTTCCTGCTTACAATGTAATGAGCATTTTAGCTCCTTTTCTCATTTATGAAAAAATGCCCTATTGTGCTCGTCATGTCCGTCCGTCCGTCTGTCTGTCCGTCTGTCCGTCCGTCCGTGACTTCACGTTTTCGTCGACGAGAAAATGCGCTCTCTGGCATTCACTACAGTTAGTACTGAGTTACATTTTTTTTACTTATCGTCTGACTGAACAGTTATGAATTTAACTGTTATGATCAGATTTTGTAATGTTTGAGAAAAATGCGGAATGGCCTGCGGCTGCTGACCCGAACAGGAGGAAAGTGATCCAATTACAGACGCGTTGGCTTGGCCGTGGGTACTGATGAGCCCGCCACTGTAAAAATGCAGTGACACAGTTATTTATTTCTTCTGTAACTCAGCCGACGCTTCTTCAACTTAATGGACGCTTCTTTAACTTAATGCATGTTTTTTTCTACTTAATGGACGCTTCTTCTACTTAATGGACGCTTCTTCAACTTAATGGGCGCTCCTTCAAATAACTAGAGGCTACTTAAACTTGCTCGACGCTGGTTAAACTTGTTAGTCACTTCTTCAAATTAATGAACAGTTCATTTGTAATAACTTTTGACGTGTGCAATTTAATTCGTTGAGCTTCTTCGTTTACTCGGTGTTGTGGGGTGAAAAGTAGCACTAAAGCGGTTAACTGTCGTTCAATTCGTAGGTTCACACGAAATTTTACTTTTGTATTAGTTATTATTGTGGAGGTTTTACAAAAATCTGAGGCCCATTCAGTTAATTTGAAAAAACTAAATAAATTAAAGATTAAATATCATTTTCAGACAATATGTTAGTTTGCAGAAAACAGTAAAAAATCATATAAACAAGCATTTTTCAACGTTTATCAGAAAATCAAAGCTTGAAATTATAGGTACTAAATTTCATACAAACTTCAAGTTGTATACGATTGTTGTTAAAAGTATAATGTAATTCTATGTGTGTTAAATGATAAATTTAATCGTGAACCGAAAATTTGGCTTTCAACTGCATTTCATTATATATGACACGAAACTAAATTCGTAAAATCGGTTTTTATTTTTCAATAAATATCAAGATTTAACTGTAGTTCAAACCCTAAACTTGCAGCATTAGTGAGCTTCTTGGATCGCTTACGGAGCGATCAAGGGCCTTGATATGCTAGTTGTATCGTGGCCTCAAATTATCGCGTGCCTCACGTGCCTCATGAGGCTGAAGAAGAACTGCCACCCCAACCTGCCTCACGTGCCTCATGAGGCTGAAGATAAACTGCCACCCCAACCTGCCTCACGTGCCTCATGAGGCTGAAGAAGAACTGCCACCCCAACCTGCCTCACGTGCCTCATGAGGCTGAAGATGAACTGCTACCCCAACCTGCCTCACGTGCCTCATGAGGCTGAAGAAGAACTGCCACCCCAACCTGCCTCGCGTGCCTCATGAGGCTGAAGAAGAACTGCCACCCCAACTCGCCTCACGTGCCTCATGAGGCTGAAGAAGAACTGCACTCATTATACCGGAACCTCTGCCTCACCTTGCTCCGCACACCTGAAGATGTTACTCTAAATTATCAATATTCCGGAGAGTTACTTCGATATACAGGTAATCGCTGAGGCCTGACAGTGCCGTACGTGTGTTGTAACAAGCATATTGCAATATGTGATCCAGCTCTGAGGTACTATAAAAAATACTTCCTTATGAAACCAAGTTTGACATTATGTATCAACTTAGCATTATACTTAATGAAATATTTGTCCTGCTCTTGCAGTTTAGCGATATAAAATAAATTTCTTGGTAGATAATCTACTTTGTTTACGTTGATTACTTTCATCGTATCTGAACCAATCACTACAATGTATTCTATGGGAACATTGCCTGCAGTTTTATGGAAATACTTCTATACACAGGAACACATTCTAGACAAATTTTTTTCTGAGTTACCTATGCTGAGCGAATTAATGCACACTGTTACCATAGTATTGGATCAGAAAGACAGTACACTGCCGGCTGGTATTGGACCAGAAAATAAATTCCTTGCTGCAACTGGTCTGTGTGTTAGATTTTAATTCAGTGGCCGTGCGTCAATGAAGAAAAGTGGGGCACTCAAGCCTTTGCTTAACTGACTTGTAATTCTTGGTTCACTTGGGAAGTGACCTCAGTCCTGAGTAAACCTATCTCTCGCCTTCTCGTCTGCTTGTCGTTTTGTCAAATATGAGATGAAGTTTCTATGTTAAACGAACGTCATCGTAAATTATTAATTTTGGTGATTAGTTTTCGTTAGTTTTTAACATAAAGAAAATAAAGCTAAGCTGACTGGAAAAAGGGATTTAGAATTTGGACTTGAAGATTGAGACTTCGAAAAAGAACTTCCGACGTTTGTTCTGTAACGATGCAGATTCTGTGTGAGTATAACGTACTCGTAGGAAAAACATCATACCTATCCCCATGAGTGAAACTGCGCAATATTTCTGTTTGATGGTACCATATCCGACCGACGCTAATTAATGTGTTTCAAATTTAATTTGAAGAGAGTGTCTTTGATTGTTTTAACATTTGAATTAGCAGCTCCTTTTTCTAAAATTAAGAACTGAGAGTCACGACAATAATTATTCTGTCACCGTCAGATGGAGTTAATTAAAGTTCCTGCACTTCGTATGAGCAATTTCTGAGAACATTTATTAAATGATGAAAGCCTAGGTAAGAAATACATTGTTTAATGTCTTTATAGACTACCCAAAATATTCTCTATTGGGTTTTCGTATGCCATTATGACCAAGTGCTGGAATACCTCCCGCATGGTGAGGTAATTACGGTTATTATACTCGATAACAACACTCAAAGAAATATGTACGTTTAGCTTTTTCTAAGTAGTAATGCACAATATGCCCTTGTGCAGATCATCCTGACGCAGTTTAGCCAGGAAAAAAGGCGCATCAGTGCTAACGGCAAAAAGAGGCGATAGATATTCATATATTAGTAGGGGCGATACTTACAAAACTCGCTAAGTTAACGTAAGCACTTACGTTCTATTTTTTTGTCTATGATTGGTGGATTTTGCTAGAAAGGCCGTCAATGATTGGCTAATGAACTTACGATCTCCTAACTTTTTTTGAAAGTATAGCCCCAGACAATTATTTGGACAATATAACCCATTCATTTTTCAAAATATATTTTTATTTTATATATTTTTTTTATAATAACCTGCAGTGCTGCTGCCATTACCTCACCAGTGCTGTGTGTGCTGGCGGTGCTCAGCAATCCATGCTGTGCGACTTCTTCTCTGGAAAGTCGCCTACAAAACGACTTCTTGGCAGCCATGTCGTGGGCTCTGCTAGAAATCGACCCTTACGAGGCCGTCTTGGGCAGGCACTTCAACTCCACAAACTCTACGGAGCAGCAACCCTTCGTTGACGTGCGCATTGTTTAGTATAGTATAGTATAGTACAGTATAGTATAGTATAGTATAGTATAGTATAGTATAGTATAGTATAGTATAGTATAGTATAGTATAGTATAGTATAGTTTGTAAGATGGGAGGAACTTCTAATCGAGCTGGCTACCTTTCTAATACCATCTAATTTTGTCAGGCATTTCTATTTATTCAGATGAAAAACTTTCGCCTTTATGTTATATTTATGCCTGAAACATTGCCCAGAAGAACCTCATTCAAATTTTCAATCCCAGTTTTTCCGATCAATGACGAAATTTTCTAGCAGTGTCAAATTATATTATCTAATCAGTATACACGAAATTTAAATAAGTATTTCGACAAAAGATATATGTAGTAATCCCAAAATTGAAGGCCTGCGCTTCAGACTACGATATGAATAAAATTGGCATGAATAGTTGACCTGGGCCGTGCTATAAAAACTCGCTTAAGCCTCTACCGCATGACATGAGTAACCGGAGCAATATGGTCACGAACCTACTTCCCAAAAAGGATACGTTCTAGTGAGCGTAAAATTACTTGCACTGATGGTTGCCGCCACATACGACAACATTAAAATGTTCTCTGTTGCGTAGAAACGTTCTCAGGTTGCTACACTCAATGGTTTAGGTATAATTTAAGTTGAAAGTTATGTTCCCAGAGAGTGACATACTGCGGTAGAGGGTTAAGTGTGCGTAGCGGGAGATTTCTCACCAGAGATTTGTGAGTTAACTTGATGAGCCGCACGTGATTGGCTGGCGGAGTAAAGAAATCCTAAGTATTTTTGATTGGATGGTTCCGGATCTTGTAATGCGGCAATTTTGAATATATTGGCAAGATTTGGAAGACTAGATTATTCAACTTATAGCAGATATTAGCAGTTTCATTTTAAAATTATTATTAATTAGATTAACAGAGGAAATTTATTTCTATTGATTTTGCTCTCACAAGACTACTAGATTTTGAGGTCAGACGAGTTAATTTCCATTATCTTGATTTAATTTAAACTATTTTTGATATCTTGTGTTTACATAGATGAGTTCATGTCTCGATAAAAAGAAATACTGGAGTAGGCGAAGCAGATACCTTCAAAAACCACCAAGTTTACCAAATGCTCTTGGATATTGAATCCCCTCATTTTTCTCAAATTTAGCTTTTAAATGCTTTGAAATATTCTCTGTTTCCTAACGCTTGAGTTATCAAGAAGCAACAATTGCCTAACGACTGTGGTTCCCTCAGGGACAAGACGAAGGTTACACCACCCGGCCATCGTACCCCGAGCTGAACGACACCTCCATGGGCCGTTCGCTGGTCGACCCCGAAAGTCTTGACTCTCCAGACCCTACAAGCAGCAAGCCAATGCTGCGCTCCCTCTTCTTCAGCTTCCAAGGGCGCCGCCCTAGGTTGAGGGTGTGTATTGCATCGGATGATCAACCATTCATACCAGAGACAATCAATAAATATTATTGGTGAATATGTATAAATGTACAAATGAGACCTTTATCTCATTTATACGTTGAAACAGGAAGAAACATGTAAGTCGTGAATATGTTATTTAGACTACTATTTCAAATTACCTATTTGTTGTAGGAACAATTTGTATCTTATTTCAGTTATTTGTTGCTTCAAGTTGAAGACTGCACAGGTGGCATCTCTCATCGTTATTAATTACGTCGACATTTTATGAGCAAGCTAGCATGAGGAAAGGATATTTTGCCAGTTGAAATCCAGGCTTCGAGTATACAATTGAATGAAACTAAATATCTGTAGTTTAATTATGCAACATTTTGAACAAGCAATAAAAGTAAAGATTTCGTAAGTTTTATTTACAACATTCGAGGTCATTCATTTCTGCATTTCCTTGAGATATGACTGACTGGCACAGGTACATTGCATCGCAAACTTGTTCAACTCGTGTCTCTTCGAGCAAGTTATAGAGGTTCATTTTCAAAAATGTTGAATGGTTCATTTCAGTTTTATTTAGCAACCTACCTCTCACCTCTTCGTTCCAACCAATGATTCGCGACTCATACTTCGTCTACGCATGAATTGAACCCTTTAAATGCTATTCGTATCTGAAGAGCAGCTAATAATGTTCACTATATCAATAACCTCTTTAAGATATTTTTCCGGTGCCTATCTATTTTACCCTATCAACATTATTGTTGCCAAAATTTGTCCATCATCGATGTACAAATAGTAATAAGGATGAAGGTAAACATTTCCCATTTATTATTCTTCAGTTTGAGATTCGTTTGCTGAAGTGGACACTCTTCGAGCTCTACGACAGGACCAACGTGATTTTTTTCCTTGGCACGCAAGTGAACGGCTTTCTAGAGGACATCTTAAGGCTGAAGGACAGAGGCCTAGAGAGAAATTCGTTCCTGTCTTCCCTGGAGGATATAGTTAGTTTGTAAGTACCCCTTATTATAAAACAAAGGGACAAAGTGTTAAGGAGAAAACCGTTCCTTGCCTTGTTGCAGAATCGGACGAGTATATTATATTCGCACTAATTTAGCAAAGATACTCGACCTATATAAAATATTTGAAGTCAATGGAAGAGCTAAACCTTTTTAAATGTTTGCAAATGTCGGTAAGAAGTCTTCCTTCTCATAAAAAACATTATTTTCTCGATGTCTCTACGAATTGCGGAACTGTTTTTTTACTCAATATTCCTTATTTGGTATTGTTTGAAATAGATTATGGTAACACGTAACAATCGTCAATAACGATTTGCAAGCCAATATAAACTTACTTTTGATTTCTTCCGCCCCAGGATTGGTGTGGACGGGCCAGCATGCGTGCACAGGATGATGTGTGAGCTCGGGGCCGCACCCGCCCTCAAGTCCAGCGGCCTCTTCGGCGAGCTTGTTGACATCACCGTCAGGTAATTGACGTTTGGTGAAGGTGATACTCTACTGAAGGTGGGGAGGGGTAAATGTGGAGATAAATGCTCTGCAAGGAAGACTTAATCTCCTGAAGGATGTGAGGGAATTGTGTGCAGAAAAAGTGGTTTGTGAAAGAATAGATAGAAGCGTGGTAAGAGAGGTGAGGTATACTAGTAGGGCAGTATAGTCTTAGAAAATGATGACTGGTTTGCAAAAGGTGATATGGGACTACATAGGTGAACGTGAGATATTCCAGGGATAAAGACGGTTGTTTTTGTTTCTTGCGCCGACGTCACGCTCGCAGGGGTAGAGGCTATGGTGGTGGTCGGGGGGAGGTACCTGAAGAGGGGGGAGATGGACGAAGGCAGGAAGGGTGGCCAGGAGCGCCGCCGCCTCAACAGGGCTGTCCCACAATGAGGAGACGCTGAGGGACGTGGGGAAGAAGAGTCAAGCAAAGAGATGCTGGACGGACTGGAGGGGACCCCAGCACTCCGGGCAGGCGACGCTAGGGGAACGTCCGACCCTGAAGGTGTAGGGAACTACACCTTCAGAGAACTGCAGTATCCCGATCGGAGCTGGGATAGCGCTGAGCGGTAGGAGCAAGAAAGCGAGGTCTCTTCTGGGCAATCGGTGGTGGTGAGGCTGCAAAGTTAACGGCAGTCGTCGCAACGCGGGAGGCTATCTCCCTGCGGAGGGAACGTTTATCCTCCCCATAGGCACCGTCGGGCATGATGCTGTCTGTTAGGAAAGGCGTTACAAGGTGGCCGAATCTCGACTTGATGGAGGCTTTCATGGGGCGGTCTCCGGGAAGGGGCAGAGGCAATGTGGAAAGAATTACGAGAGGGTTGGAGGGCGCTGGCGAGGAACTGGGCACAGGCCAGGTCTAGGTGAGCGGGCAGTAGAAGGACGCCAGTCTCACATGCAGTGGAGATGGGCAATTGGGGCTATTTTGAGGCAGCCGGTGGCTAGTCTCAGGGGTGAGTTTTGAATGGTTTGGAGGCTTGCTACTGCAGTGCGTAAAGCGACAGAGTAACAGATGGGGGCAGCGTAATTGAGGATCTGGCGCGTGATTGCCCGGTAGGTGGCAATAATGCCCTCCTTAGAGAAACTTCAGTTATTGCCGGCCAGGGCTTGTAGGATACGGAAGGACCCCGTTGCTTTGATGGCTATGGCTCTGATATGTGGAGAAAACGTGTAGTGGGTGTCCCAGGTGACGCCCAGGATTTTTTTCTATTAGGATGATGTCATTGCAGATTGTTGCAGATGGATGTAGGCGGGATTGGTGAGTGTCTGGGGTGAAGAGCGTGAGGGAAGACTTGCCTGGTGCCACGGTCAGTTTCTTGGAGTCCAAGCAGTCCGAGACGCCCTTGAGAAGCCCAGCGAAGTCAGCCTCTGCTGCATCGAGCCTCGGGGACGACACGATGATAGTGAGGTCGTACGCGTATGGGGCAATATTGGGGGCCGGTACAGGTATATCCGAGATGAAGTGGTTGAATAGGGCCGGCGAGATGACCAAACCTTGAAGACGCCTGAATGGATTGTTCTGAAGGGAGATTGAGTTCTGAGATAGACGGTTACGACAGAAATGGTTCTCATGAGCTCACTATTGCAGGCACGTGCTGATGGAGAGCTACGCGCCGTTCCCTAACGACATCCCCCTCGACACGATTTCCCGCAAGTTTTCAGAAGACGCGCCCTTTGACGGGGAGGACTCGGCCGTCAGCTACCTAGACGCTGTGGCGGCAGGTCGCACTGGTGCGGACTGCGCCGCTACCTTCCCTCAGTGCCCTATGTCCCTGCTTTCAATGTTGAAATTTGTGCAGGACTTTAATTCGTAGGTCTCGATATAAAGCATCTAGACACTGCAGCTTCATATATTGAGACGTATCATGGCGGTTGAGGGTGTAATCTGTGTGGAAAACCTTCAAATGCCGCCTCATTATTAAAGGCGCACAGTGGTAATTAAGACGTTCAAAACCTTAAGACTTAACGACATTTGAAGATAAAGCGCGAAAAGAGACATTTTGGAAGGCAAAATGAGAAAGGTTACAATTTTATAGCTCAAGATTTCAGTACACTCAGTCGAGGAAAGTACAAGTTAACGACTATATGTATAGGCTGATATGTTAATATGCAAGATTTATAATACTAAAAATCGGACAACTAAATAATTGGATTGTTCATGGCGTTAAAGATGCTGAAAACAGCTATTCAAATTACGATTAAAAGTATTATACATAAGTACTCAACTTTTTACTATATTTTGTAGTTGGCGATTGCAAGAGCTTCTCAACAGGTCCACACAGCAGTCAACTTTCACCAAAACAGTGCATTTGTTGTAGATTTACTGCTGACTTTCGGAATTTCATGTGTGGCTGTGGTCCATGCTCATTAAACATTGCATTGTTTAATGAGTTCCATTTCAACATCATGGAACTTCAAACAGGTCTTCGTTTGGCTTGGGCTTAAGCGGTTCATGTCCAACTCGTGTCGATGACGAAATGTTGAAGTGAATACATCCTGTGGCTTAGCAATTATCAAGGCAATATCTGAATTCGAAATCATAGCCTGAATGAGTCATACAATTTAGCCTATTATATCATATTAATTTATTTATTTATTTAGTTATTAAGTTATGTTTAATAATAAGATAATTTCAGTAACCTTTTTTTTGCGACTGGAATTCCTCTAGGCGCATGTGCTCAGTAGTCCAGTCATGAACATGGTAATTATTTCAGAAAATCTAATCCCCGTAAATCCTGAGAACGCGTTTGTGGATATAGTCTTTAATTAAGCTACATTTTCCAATAGAAAGTCATATAAACAGCAAAAACACTCATTAATGTAAGTTTTCAGTAAATTTGTAATGAGCTTGCTGTTTCGTAGTTCAATTATTTTCCTCATTCATTTTGAAGCCTCGTAATATAAAGTAAGTGTTGTACAAAGCAATAAATGGATGCGCTTGGACAATGTTTACAATGTGATACTGATAAGTGCAGACAGAAATTAAGTCCAAAAGACTCCTAACTAAAATAACGCCCAGAACCATAATTACGCAGAGACAAACCCGATAAAGAATAAAAGAAAACAACCATCTGTTCTCTTGCAGGGACTAACTTACAGTCTCATTTAAAATTATTTTGGTGAATTTTTAGAAGTTTATACCAACGTTACTACTTTCGGTAGTAACGCTTTGGGGTACAATTTCACGTTAGATTGAGCTATTGAAGGGACCGATGTACTAATTAAGCTGCAATCTTTCAAACTACTCCGACACAAGTTCGTGAGAACACGCTAACATTAAAAAACTTCTGTATCATTGCTTTCCAAATACGTTGAAATTGCGAGGACTTTTTTGTAATATAGTATTAGATGAAATAAAAATTATCGGTGGAGGAAATAATTTTTAACGTTTCGAGTTTGATGCTCATAAAAGTTTCCATACACACCATACATAATGAAGAGTTTGTACCAATTTAATTTTTACATGCGATTGTCAGAGGAGGTCAACTCTTGTAGTTTCTCTTTAATGGTCTTATTTCAGAGAAAAAACATCAAAGCAATACATGAATAAATTTATCAGACATCACCTGAAAATATGTTATCATTCAATCAGTTAGAATTAAAATTAAGTTCACCAGAATCTCGGTTCAGAGCTTTAAATTGATCAAACATGCCTTACACATTCATCAATTCGAGAAAAATGCATGGAAGGGTATCGATGAGGCTGAACGGCATCAATCGAAACGGTGGGTAATAAGGGACGAGGTAAACAGTCATTTTAATTGCATATAAACTGATAGACAAAAATTAATACTTAACTTAATAGCTAAAGCAATATGTCGATGATTTTGGAGGAGTATAGATAGCCGACTGTCGAGTCACAGACGACTGACAGTATCATAGGCCCACTGATAACACTGCCGGGGTAGTCTTTAACTCGAGTGTACCAGATAGTCTCCCCAACCAGAACTGGAATAGACACAAGCGAGAGCTTGTGACACATCAACCCCAAAATATTCACTACTCCCGCTCCCCCGGAGAGCAATCCACACGAAGCTCACCTGGACTGCCGACTTGGAGGTTGAAAAAAAATATGATAATTACTTGAAGAAAATGGATAGTTTAATAAGAAGTCACATGACTAGTCAAGAAGTTGACCCGACATTAGCAATGGCGTCGTTGCATGCAGGACTGCAGGAAATATCGCAATTCGTGGACGAGGAACCCAAACTGGACCTGAAGCAGTTCCGGGCCCAACTACCGCAAGAAGGAGACGTTAAATTATTTTCCCTTCGATGAAGAATGGAGACGTTAAATTATTTTCCCTTCGATGAAGAATGACAGACAAAGAAATTCACATCCTTTGTGAGCAAATGACTAGGAAGCTACAAGCTATATAAAAATTTTCTTTTTGTTGACATACATCTCGAATCGAAATATCCACCTCGTCCCAGCATCCATATAGTTGTACATGTGCCTCTCATGTTCGTCACCTAAATGATGTCCAATTTGTTAAGAAATTCCAATAAAGAAGTGAAATATTTAGATTGTTTTCCTTCAACTGCCCGACATCTGTTAAACAATATATTTCTATCTGGTAAAACAGAATGTCTTTATCTGAATTTACGAATTACACTTCGTTTATATCATCATTACCGGGCACTAAATACATTTAGAGAATGTATTAACAACGTGCATCTCAAGAAACAGCTTTGAATTCTCGGAAAAGCTTAAACTTGAATTCGATATTTTCCGAACTGTCAGCGTTGACAAGACAAAATCATTCCCGTCACAGATTTTAGATACCTCTGAATATATTCAGCTTGCTGGGTTTTCAATCTCGCTATTCACTGCTCCGTTATTTCTGTTCTCAAGTATCTGGCCACCTCATCAGTTTGACCAGAAATGTCACAGAAAGCTGGTGATCAAACCCGCAACTCACTACTCCCTCCTGTTGTCTACCCTGTCTACAGTATAACTCTTTCGTCGCATGAGTTTTTTTTTATAATTACAATTTTTGCGATTTCAATTCAATTGCGCTATTATGCAGTTGTCGAAAATTAATCTACTGAATAAATGAGCAATGAACGGTTACCGTAGAAATCAAAATTATGCTTTACAGATTGTCGAAGTTAAGCGTGCTTCAGCTTATGGATTTGGGGCGAGATGACCCTGAAGGAAAGGGTGTTTTGAGTCAAACCTATGAAACAGTCTGCCATGCGTTACATATTAATTTATATAATTTTTTTTAATTCACAATGATGTATCATCACTTACCACACTAAATTTAAACTTTTCACTTTGTGTTAATCTAAATTTTGAAACTTCGATTTGAAACGAATACACGAGTGAAACATGCCCCCAATGAGATCTTTTTTGAACTTAAAAATCATTAATTAAGGCTCACAAAGCTGGACAGGAGTCATTACTCAAAACCCAACAAAGCCAACAGTCAAAACCGTTAAAAAAACTGCTCGAATCTTGGCGGAAGCGTAGACGTGCACCACTGCCAGGGGAATCGCATGAAACCTGCCGTGCACCACCAGGCCGCAGATAAATAATGAATCGTTGTCATCGTTAAATTACCTTATTCACAGCATCTAATTACCTTATTCACAGCATCTAATGTTAGGTTTCGGATAGTTTAGTTTGGTTCCAAGATCATGTGCTGATTCAATGAAAGAGAAGAATACGGTCAGTGGGGGGCATCATATTCACAGAAACTCCAACGCTCTCTCCGAGTGGTGCAGAATTTCTTCGCGCGTCTTAAGACGATGCTTTGCCATAGTATAGACGGCTGATTTCCTGTAGGCTGATTCATCAACATCAATGGATGTCGTCTGTCTTTTGACTTGCGGCTGCTAATGTGATTATCCAGAAGTGTTCGAGGCTACGTTCTTGAGGGAAGGGATCATGATGGTCCATTCGAAGCTAGGCAGTGGTGGTCTCCGAAAAGCAGCGTATTCTAGAATTTTTTTTACTATTCTCGTACCATCAATCCATCATTAGCATATAAAAGCATTTTGAGCATCGCTTACCTTTATGTATGAAACAAGTGACGCCTATAAATGCGGATTATAATAGAATATATTTATGATCCATGAGCGACAGGCTACAAATGACCTGCGTAGTCATTTACAGAGCTTTCAAGATGTCACCATAATCATAAGTCTGTCACCACATTTCTCAGCCGTAATGTCACTATTGTATTCACCTGCATACATCCCACAAAACTACCTTTTCTCATTAATTCAAATATTTCTCGGCGCCTGAAACGGAAGTTATCTTTTATATCGGCCTTACGCTTCTTCTATATCGATATATAAGAGACAAATTTACTTCCTTTCTATTAATATGCGAACGGATTAGAGACAAATCCTCCTTTCCGCTTTGAGACCATATAATATTTTTGGTCGAGGTCTCGCGGAAAACCAAATTCTGCATTCTGTTACGTGACACAAGAAGGCGGGTTATTTAACTTTAATTAAGCTACCATACCATCGAGCCTCGTCATTATTTGGTTACATTCGGGATACCGGACCGTGTGCTTGCTGCAATTTAAAGCAAGGTATTGGGTAAGTTGGCAGATGATGTACTTTCTTCTTGGTGCCCCTGCTTGTAGTAAAACTTGTTAGTTGTTACTGCTTCAACAATGAGTACCTAGACGCCGTGACGCTGACGCTCATGCCATGATGACAATTGATAATGACATAGGTTAGAGAAAATGATTACGAATAATAATTATTTATTTAAATAAGTGTTCAGGCTTATATGTTCCAATTTAATACATTAATGAGTAATTGAGTATAGGCATTAGGCATTCAAATATGTTTTATAAGTTGAAACCTATTTACACTTATGACTTAGCTACCGCTACCGCGCTACGGAGCCTACAGTGCTAGGCAGCTAGCCTACCCAGTTAAAATAATAGCTATATTAGTAGGTACTAGGTAGCCTAGTGCCTACTAGTAGGCCTAGAGCTAAGAGCATTAGATGATTAGAAACAAGTGTTTTGATTAACATCAAACAAAGAAGGCTAATAAAGTTATAATGAGCCAATGAGGGACAGTTTTGAACATTTTTTGGTAATAGGGTAAACGCGGTATATTCCGACATCATGGGTAGGGTAAACGCGGTATATTCCAACACTTTAAGGACGCATCAAGAAATGAAAAACTATAAAAAAAACCGTATGTGTTACGTAAGTTCTGTTGCCTTCACATGACTCTCAAAACACTTCACTACGCGTCAGCAACGATGAAACGTCACAAAATTTTGCCATATTTATTAAAAAGCCTTTAGAATGGAAACCTACCGAATCCCTATATTCCGTCACTTTGTGTGGCAACATCCGACACGTGGTGAGTTGTATTGCGTCAGCGCTTCAAATTTAACTGATACGTATTACCGACATCCACGTGTTCGAATTCCGTTTGCTGTGTGAGCTGTATTGGGAATTTGGGATAAAACACGGCTTTGAATTAGAACACTAACGAATATTGAACACTACTTAATTACGTTTTAATTAGCAGCTATTAGGCTTTTAATTAAGCAAATTTCAATTTTTGTACAAAGCTTAAGTTATTCACTATTTGGTAGAGCCATGTCAACTGTCAAATTTGACACATTTTTCAATGATCTCACCACATGGCATGCATTGTCTCTCTTTGGATCTCAATATTTTCCCACTAGATGGCCAAGACCTAGTGTTTTGGCAGTATTTTGACTCGCAAATGCATGACGTCACCATTTCAACTATCAAAAAACGCATGGAACTAAAACAAAGCTTAATATAAAGGAAAAGCTGGAGAGGTGACGGAATTACCTATGATGTCGGAATATACCGCGTTTACCCTAACTGTTTGTATAGGAAGAATATTATGGTTTGAGACTTTTAAATACGTCTGTGAATATATTAGGAATCCTTTAAGTATACTTGTATTTGCTGATTTCAAGTGGTAAATATATTAATAGATGATTAAGTTGAGAAATGGATTTAGACACATGAAAACTAATACCGTCACAACTTGAACTGGACAGTGGACACACACAGATCGTTCCAAGCTATGTACAACAATTAAAATTTGCTTAATTAAAAGCTTAATAGTTGTTAATTAAAAGCATAATTAAGTAGTGTTCATTATTCATTAGTGTTCTAATTCAAAGCCTTGTTGTATTCCAATACAGCTCACACAGCGAACGGAATTCGAACACGTGGATGACGGCATTACGTATCAGTAGAATTTGAAGCGCGGACGGAATACGCCTCACCACGTGCCGAATATTGCCACACACAGTGTCGGAATATAGGGATTTGGTAGGTTTGCATTCTAAAGGCTTTTAAATAAATATGGCAACATTTTGTGACATTTCATCGCTGCTGGCGCGTAGTATGGTGTTTTGCGAGTCACATAAAGCAAACAGAACTGGAGTAACGCATACGGTTATTTTTTTATAGTTTTTCATTTCTCGATGCGTCCTTAATGTGTCGGAATATACCGCGTTTACCCTAACTTCTCACTATGGAACATTTCATAGATAAGTTTGGGCTCATTTTGAAGGTCTTTGTCATTGAATTCGTATGCCATCTCTGAAAATTATACCCAAAGGCTATTCCAAATTTGTAAGGTGCCTGACATAAAATAAAAGTGTCTGGCATCTTTAACTTACTTGAAATAAAACTTGATTTCAAAGTTTGAAGCATGCAGTGCAGTGTTTAGTTCAGTCTTCAACTGGAACTGGTGTATTCACAGAGCTGGGCAGCACTACTTTGAAATGTAGCAGCGCATGTAGCGGGCGCTACCGGCTACCGCTACAAGACACCCACTAGATTGTAGCGAGCGGCCGAGCGCTATCGCTACCGCTACAGTAAAATGTAGTGCCGCTACACGGCTACATTACTAGCCGCTACAATGGCCAAAATTATTGGAAATCTCTGAATATTTATTGTTCTGGCAGTTCTGCTATTGGGATTTACTCGTAAACATTTAATGATAATAAAACATTTTCAAAACATATCAATGCAACTTTATTGCAATTAACCCAACCGAACTAGTACGGGTTACATATAGTAAATAAAATGTACAGTTACTTTTATGTTTTAGGTACCTTCCCTACATGGATATCTACTTTAATCTCCCAATCTCAAAAATTATCCACATATACATATAAAATACCAGTCTTTTATTTGTATATATATGTGGATTATTTTTGAGATTGGTATATTAATGTAGACTTCCATGTAGGGAAGGTGAAACATAAAATCAATTGTAAGCAAACTGGAACATGAAAAAGTACCTGTAAGTGGTAACGTAACAACAAGGGGAGCGTCTGGCCAAAATTTTTGAATTTGGGCTTTTCTGGTTTTTAGTCTCATCTTAAAGGTGACATTCTGCTCTATCCAACGGTACCAAAGTCATCTCTGTACTACGTTGATTTATGCGTTCAGGACAGATCATGAAACTTGAAAGAGGGGAGGGTGGGGGAGTTCTTTAACAAATTAGATTATACAGACTACAGACCTTAGCTGACAAGCCTGGAAAACATCTCCCTTTAGGGCTGCCCAGCTGAGACTAGAACTTTCCCACCATTTCTGGAACCGCGACATTCCCACCAGATAATTTACCTCCTATCTAAATGTTAAGAAAAGTGCATGATCAGGCTGCAAGTTTCCAAATGTAGCCAAAAATGTCTTTGCTGCTCTCAATAAAAGTGCAACGAATTTTAATTGCTATAATAAAATATAATAAATGAAATATTTTTTAGAGATTATGTAGGTATTAAAAATTTGTCACACCTGACCCTCGAGATTTCAGAAACAAGTAGGAAAATTCCAATGCTGTGGCTTAGCAAGTTAGCAGAAGTACTTTTCCAAAATGTTGTTTTTCCACATTTTTTTCAGGGATTTTTTTAGAGGTCATAAATATATGATTTTATTAGTTCAACTGCTACATTTCTACAAATTGTGGGACAAGTGTCCTGATTTACCTTGCCCATCCCTTATTACCCCATTAGACAGTAAGCAAATTTTTTCAATGCTTTAAGTTCAAAGCTTCATTATAGCTCTATTGTTTATAAGCTAACTGTATGTTCCCTCTTTCAGGAGCTACTTCTAATGCCATGGAGGACTTTGATGATGAACTGGACATGGATACTTTGGCAGAGCTATTGGACGCAGATGATCCTGAGATAGATGGTGCCATCACAACTGGGGGAACTGCATGCCAAAAAAACTCTCAGTCCTTTCTAGAGAGCATTTCTGCTGAGGCTGCAATTAGTTCTTCAGCTTTAGGCTTGGACATGTCAGATGATGATAATGATGAGAGTCAGGAGGGAGCTTCAGATCAAATGATGCTATCTAAATCTGCATCCTCTTCAGCCTCTGGCATAGATAATGAAAGTGCACCTCCTTCTAAGAATGTAGCACTAGAATCAGTAGATCCTTTGGAGAGGGAGCTTAGGCAAATGGAGGCAAAAATGGCAGCTCTAAAGGCTGAGCTTGCTAAAAAGAAGAAGCTGAACGTCACTAGCAGTGATGGGTGTTCCAGAATATTCACAAAGTTAACAATTCCAACTGTTAGCAAAGAAACACAGAGAAAGCTTTCTATGGAGGAGCATGCTAACCTACTCAAGAGTTTGAAAGAGCAAAAAAATAGAAGCCTGCTTCATGGGGGTGATACTGACTCTGAAGATGATGAAGATAATAAAAATCCTTTTGAATCTCGGTATAATTCATATGGACATGCTCTTTTGAAAAACTTGAAAAGTGCTAACAATGGACAAAGTTCATCCTCTTTAAATGGAAGAACTAATTTGAATCCGGGCTCTTCAGCAGGCAAGGATGGTGGGGCTTCACACCAAGTCCTAAAATCTGACAATTTTGAAGTTCTCAAGGCACTGGCTGCAAAGCGTCAACAAGTTGTTAAAAAAATTAAAAATGATCAAAATTGGCAGGAGGCTAGTGGATCTCTTGTGCCTGCTGGGGGCAGTTTAACTAAAATGACTCCTGCTGAGAAAAATGCTGTCAGATGTGCATACTCTGGTATATTTGTTGTGTGAGTATATTTCGTTTGTATCATACAGTTATCAGCATGAATAAGCATAACCATAATATTCTTTATAGGATTAATGGACTCAACTTTTTTGCCTAGCAATGATCTAAGAGGAAAATTTTGTCCTATTTTTTTCATATTAAATTTTAACTATTACTAACTATTATGTTTCTGTTTTCTTAGTTATTATTATTATACAGTTTACTGTCACAGCTTAGATTTAAATACCTATATTATAACTTTTTGAAATTCATGTTAGTACTTTTTCAGGTCTCCGCAAGTGTCAGCATCTCAGATGCAGGAGCGCATGGAGGGTCGCCGCTTTGTATCTTTCTCGACAATTCCTCTTCAGATGCGAGGAGGAGAAATAGAAGGGGATTGGGTCACCATTGCTGTTCTTGTTGCCAAAACCCCTCCTAAAACCTCGCAAAAAGTAATATAAGATACTAATAATGGAAATACTAATATTTTCACTTTATTAATGTATTTACTTCTTTTCTGAGCACCATTCAGCATAGGCTGATTATAAGTTGACCAACCAATTAATGAAAATATTTTATCAACCTTAACTAAAAGTCATGAATTTGAAATTTAGTGGCAAAGAAACTTCCAACAAAATATTTTCATTGAATATGTTTTTGCGTTTGTCTCCATCATCTACTTGAGAATTAATAGAATACAAGTATAATAAATTTACACAACTAAATCTACAATGTATGTAATGTCTGTCAGTCAAACCAATCTTTCAACAATTTCAAGCAGACGATAAATAAAATAGGTATTTAATAATGTAATTTCTAAAAATAATATTAAAGTTACTATCATGTATCAAGAAGTTGAGCTGTTCAGCTTGAATGCTTGCTGCTGAATGAGGTGGGAATAAGTTGGATTATGACCAAAACCTTGTACAATTATGCTCCACCAAAATAGACAAGAAGTTGGATTATGACATTGCGCCATAGGCTGATGCACTTCATGAACAGCCATTTTCAGAAAGTCAAGATGATTATTTGTATAAATGAAGAATACGGTATCTTTGCACCTGTAGAAAAAACCTTTCAAACCTTGTAAGCCACTCTAGTGTCTGATTGCAAGAATTAGAAGCTATGACTAGTATAGTAGGTATATTTTGTTTGGGGTTATTGCAAAATGTGAAAAAAATGAAGAAGCTTGTTCTGTCGCTCTATAACAACTTCAGTGTATTTATTGTAAATGTATTTCTTCTTTTCAACAACCATACACCAAGTAATGGAAACAAATTTAGTGAGTAGTTATTATGCAAAAATATTATTGCTTAGGTGTTTTCTCATTGGTCTAACATAGACTCCGACTGCAATTTTTGTTACATGTTTATTTGTATGCCACGTTATTCTCAGGGCACCCAGTATTCAGTTTGGCAGCTGACCGACCTACGTGACTGTACCAAGACGGTTGGCCTCTTCCTTTTCTCAGGTGCTCACTCTGGCTTGTGGAAGACTACAGTGGGCAGCGTTGTTGCCATACTCAATGCACAAATCATGAAGGTAACTCAACATTGTACTGTAAAGTCTTTTTAGCGCATTTTCTCATTTATGGAAAAAAGGCGCTATTGTGCTCGCCATGTTCGTCCGTCTGTCTGTCTGCCTGTCCTGTCTCAACTTTTTTTCGACGAGAAAATGCGCGCTCTTTCGCTCACTGCAGTGAGTACCGAGTTATATTTTTTCTATAATCTTAATATATCATTGACTTGAGCTTGGGCTTCTCATATCTTATGCCTTAAAACTCTACCTGGTATTAGATTGTCCTCAGACTCATAAGATTCTATGCTTCGTCCTGACCCTGAGAAACTTACCTTGTTGATTACCTACTTACTATACGTTTCCTCCCAACCATCAAGCGGGATTATCTCTTTTTCATAATTCACCTTATGTTTCATCACGATTACTACAGGTTATTATTTTGTTGTCTTTTTAGGACCGTCAGGGCGAGTCTGTTGATTACTTCCTATATGTTTCCTCCCAGCCATCAAGCGGGATTATACTTTTTTTATAATTCACCTCATATTTCATCACGACTACTTAAGCTTATTTTTTTTGTTATTGCCTGTTTAGGACCGTCAGGGCGACTCTTCCTCCAACCTAGTGACGTTATCCATCAACAATGCAATGAATCTCATGCTCATGGGAACTGCCAGAGATCTAGGCTGGTGCAAAGGCCGGTACGTGGCACTGAGATGTATTATAAAAAATCTAAGTAAAATATGACGTGTTAACCGCAAATTTTGCCATTATTAAACCTGTGTATATGATTGTTGATCAGTGATCATAGTTTTTCGATAGGCTTGCGATATAAGTTTCTATTGGTTTGAACTTGAATTAATCTGAGCCTAGAGCCTAATATAGTACGTCAAATGCATCAAGTGTAATCCGTGTATAAGCAGTCTACAAAATTTTGTGTGCAGGACCAAAGCCAACGCTTCATGTCGCCAGTTTGTTAATAAATCGGTGTGTGAGTTTTGTGTGTTCCACGTTCAGCGGGAGTATCAAAAGACATCGTCTAAGCGGGCAGACTTGCAGAGCAGCTTTTCGGCCCGCGGCCCTCAGTCCTCGTCCTTGAAACAGAAAGTTCTTGGCAAAGACAAGGTGCAGAGCCCCGAACAATTCAAGTTTTCCACGTTAGGGCCGCTAATACAAGTGTCAATCAGGGCAATTGCGTATGCATCACTACTGCTAATCATAGTTTGCTCTTTCCACCATAAATTGTTATTTTGATCGATTCCGCTGGTATTACTTCCAATTACTTCTTTTAAATATATAACTCAACTCAAGATGGACGAAAGTTTTCTGCTTACACCGTCATGTTGATAACATAAACAATGTACGAATTGCAATTACTTTACATAACTGTCTACAGGTATTCTATGGCGGGAATTTGTTCACTGGAGCACCGCTCTCTGCCCCCAGCATACCTGGCCGCCAGAACACTTCCCACCGAGCCAAGGACCTGGCGACACTCAGCTCTCTCAAGCTCAAAATGAAGAGCGACCAGCTCAAGGATGAGGACAAGAAGAACTCATTCGTCTTGAAACACCTCTCGCAAAAAGAGGTTTCTGTCGTACAGAATATGGTCAAAGAGAATGATTCCTTGTGAGTAGGGGAGGCTGGATGCAATTTTGGAATTTCAGAAATTATATCCAGATTATTTTTTCTTTTGTGGTGGTTAATTGAATTCTTCTTGCGTTAAATTATTATCTGTGTATCGTGGTTTAGCTGGTTTCTGTCTATATTTTACATATGACAGAAAATATGTCAGTTAAAGAAAACTTCTCTAGCCTGGTTATGGTTTTACATCTTGTTACATAGGTGAATATTCATCAGTTACCCGTATGTTACGATCTACTGCTGAAACTAATTGCTTGAATTCTCTATGCATTCACCAGAGAAGAACGTTTTCTGGTTCCATTTATTTATTTTTTCCATACATACTCCTGAATTAACGGTTTCCATTCACTAATCAGAGGTGAAAGACTCCTCGCACCAACTCCCGGCGCCCGTAACCTGCTACGTTATAAGGCCAAAGATGACGAAGCGCAGCTTCAAGAGACCAGGAAAGCCAATGGGCTTTCTAAGCTTGTAACAGCTAAAGATCTCCTGAAGATGACTCACTCGGAGATACAGCAGCGCAAGATTGAGGTAGGCACTGCGTGACATGCCATCCAATCAACTACTATACTCGAAGTCAATGTCATGTCTTCAACAATAAATGTAGAAAACTTGATAAATTTCACTGAGTTCTTGGCTGTCTTTACGATATGCAAGTCTTTAAATAAATTCTCTTGTTGCAGCAAGCCAAGCGGAAGTCATTGACTGCCGGATCTGCATCCAGCATTCCTACCCTGGGTCGCGGGTTGTGCCCGGGACAGCTGGTAGATTTTGACCTCTCACCGCCATCTAAGTCAGCTTTCGATCCTGTAAAAGCAAAAGCTCTAGCAATTCTCAAAAGAAAAGGCGAAGCTTTGCAGCCCAGTGAGAAAAACTCTATAAGAAGCAAGGACAAAGTGGCAGACCCCCAGTTTCAAGATCGTGTCCAGAAAAGGCTAAGAGAATCAGGCTGTCCCAGCGGGAGTGATGAGGAAGCAACATGTAAAAAGCAAAAGCAAGATGAAGAGTCGCGGTCATTGCTCGGCAGTGTTGACCTTAATAATGAAAAAATACAAGCGATGCTTGAGCGAAAATCTAAGCATAGTAATTTAGTGGACGATGTAGAAAACGCCCAAATGGACAAATATTATTCTAAACTGGAGTATAAGGAGAAACTTGAAGAGAAGCTCGCTTCAACTATGGAAGTGCCCACTAACGCTGTTGTGTGTATCAAATGTAAGTATCAAGCTGTACTCCAGAGTCAGTTTTGCAAAGACCAAGGCCACGTTGTGAAAGCGGTAAAGGCAAGCAAGAGATTCTTCGAGTGTTCCAAGTGCAAAAAAAGAACAGTTACCCTAGAAAAAATGCCAGTCAAGTCATGCGGCAACTGTGAACAGACATCTTGGCGCAGAGTTGCCATGGGAAAAGAGAAGAAGGGGCCCGTGCTCGACTCCGAAGTGCTCTGTTTGCGTGGCAACGAACAGAAGCATTTCGGTGGCTGTGCTGAGAAAGCTTTTCTTCACATTGATGGATGATTTCTAATGCTTAAACCTGCCTGCATAAATGCGAACTAAATGCCGGAGCCGGCGTGCAAAATAAGCTTGTGGCGTGCCGGCGTGCATCGCTGAAAGCCACATTTGTTCAAACTGATGGCTTATTGATGAAGATCGAATTAATCTGAATCAATATTCGAGTAAACATTAATGTATAAACGTAAGTGAAAGTACAAAATTTTATGCTTAACGCGAACTACCATCAAGTGCATTAATGTGAATGGGAGGAAGTCATTGTTCCAATCAATGGCAACTAGCTAGCTGTTTTAATCTTCAATTGTTTGAATTTCACCTTCAATTTAATGCTGCAATTACTTGACAATAGCGCTGTAGCTTCACTTCAGAGGGCTAGTTGACGATTGGGACGAAACTTGATTACCATTATAGCATGATTCTCTTGTGTGATTTTTATTTTATCGTTATTCTTCAACGGAAATTTATGTATCAAATGTTTGTGATCTCTGGCCACATTTCTGAGAGTTAGTTTTATTATCGTCATTCAATTTTTACTGGTATCTGAATTTGAAACTTGATTTAGTCGTCAATTTCAGCAAATTGTAATTTTGGAACGATTAATTCGGGGCAGGATGAAATAACTTGAAGCAATCTATCCTCATTTTGTCGAAGTAATGTTGACCAAAACACTTGGATATTCCAAAACTATTATAGCAACTGTCTCAGAAGTTGAAAGCACTTCATAGACAGCAAATTGTGGCATTGTCTCATTGAACCATACGTTGCATGATTGAGCATATTTTCTAGCAGGGTGTTTTGTTCCTCAAGTTCGAGTACGATAAAAGACTGAGCTGAGAAGAGTGCGAGAGAATATATCTAAAATTCTAACGATATGTTACTTATTAAGAGCTAGAGGAGTGAATGAAGATTTGCCGTATGACTTAGATGATAATTCGAGTTGTAATCTGAGTAAGCAGCGAGACGATCTACGAAAGCCACATCAGCTTCAGATACCGATACAAAGGAGGTAGGCACACGACGCAGAAAAAGAATCTGCACCGCTCGCACATCAAACGATGAAACAACATTCCAGCTGAAATTGGCGAGGAAACACGTCTCGGACAAAATTTACGGACGGTCTCACTAAATTCAGTGAGCATGGAATATCTCTCAGAGTAATGAACGTGGCTCGATAAAACTTGGTACACGAATTCATTAGTACCTAACGGTGATGTTTAGCTCGTGAACATTTGTGGATTTTCGTCTTTAATTCGTGAGTTATATGATGATACGTGCTGAAAATTGCAGCGAGCATGACATTTCTTATTAACTACTGTACAGATTTGAACGAAACTTTGCATAGAGAAACCTAACCTTCCAACGGTGATGTTTAGCTCGTAACTATTTTTTTCGATTTTGCCTTCTTTCCGAGTTATACGGATATATGGAGAAACGACCGGCATTTCTCAGGCGGATTTCTAAACTTAACATAACATAACATAGTGATGTCGGCGCTGAAGTGTAGGCCTGATGTGGCCTGTCGCCGATTCTTTTCCTTTTCGTGCCTTGTTCATAGATCTAAACTCGTGTCATTTGACCGGATCTTTTCATGACTGGCGATAGTTTGAAGTAGCCACTAGACTCTCACCGGGTTCGATAAGGAGCTAGGCATTTCAAATCTGAACATATATTTTTCCATAGCTTTATTTAGTCTGTTCTTGAACGCGTTCATACTTGGAGCGCCAACGATGTCATCGGGGAGGCTGTTCCACTTCCACATGTCGGTGATTCGAAGCGAGAAGAAATTTTGTCGCGTGGAGAAGTTGCAGCGCAATTTTTTTAGCTTATAGCCGTGGCCCCTGGTGTTGGTTCTTGTTTCAAATTCTAGTAACCCTTCAGGGACCTTGTGTAGACCATGAGTATACTTGTATACTTCAATGAGGTCCCCACGCAGACGTCGATAACTGAGGCTTGGAAGCTTCATAATCTTCAATATTTCTTCATAGGACTTGCCCTTCAAGCCTGGAATTATCCTTGTTGCACGTCTTTGAACATTCTCTATTAAATTTCTGTAAAGTCCTCATCTGTGAACATACTGCTGAAGAACTGATTAAGAACGTTAGCCTTGCCCTCATCAGAGGAAATTTTTCGTTGGTCTACTTTCAAATCAGATATACCGTTCTTTGGCTTACACTTCGAACTAGCGTACAAAAAGAAGGCTTTCGGATTCTTTTTGGCATTTTTAGCAATATTTTTTTCGAAGTTTTTCACTGCAGTGCACTTGCATTGATTTGCGTTGACAAAGAGCCATATACCTACGTAAAGCCGTATAAATCGCAAACGAAGGCAAGATCGAACAAAATTGTCATGAGCTAAACATCACCGTTGGAAGGTTAGGTATTCACGTCCGAAGTTTCGTTCAAATCTGTTAAGTATTTTAGGAGAAATTCAATGCTCACTGCGAATTCAAGCATGAATTGCAGTTTAAATCACGAAAGAAGTAAAAGTGGAAAAAACTCAAGCGAAGGCAAAATCTAGAAAATTGTCACTATCTAAACATCACCGTTTGAAGGTTAAGTTTCTATATGCAAAGTTTCTTTCAAATCTGTACAGTAGTTTAGAATAAATGTCATGCTCACTTCAAATTTCGGCACGTATCGCCATATAACTCACGAATTAAGGAGCTACGTTCATTAAGATAAGCTACGTTCATTACTTTGGGATATATTCCATGCTCACTGAATTTGGGGAGACCAGCCGTAAATTTGTCAGAGACGTTCGGAATAAACTTTATGATACCATATTTTAATCTTTTGTTTGTCTGCCTAATATTGCGTTTTACACCAGTTATCCGTTATTTTCGAGAATTTTAGTAAAATCATTCATGAAATTGTTATCCCAGGCAATTTTCTTCGCTTTTCAGTCCATACTTAATATACTGTTTTAGACTAGTCTCTAACCACCAGTTGAGCTGTCGTGCGGAATACTCTCCAATGTTTTGGTTGGTCCGGATTTTGCAGAATCTTTTGCTTATGGAAGTGAAATGGCTACCTATTCCATCAAAATTTATCTTGATTTTCTAAATACATGTTGGGAATGATTACAGGCGTCATAGTGGCAAAGCAGAGAGTTTTTTAGACTCTCCCTCAAGTTCATTTTTGAGTCCTATAAGTAGACCAGTAAAGTATCATGGATACAAGCTTTATCATGCTTAAGAAATTGGTTTAAATTTTGAGTAAATGAGGAAATTAAAAAGGAACTGATTCTAGATAAGCTCTGGTTTGCCACTATGACAGGCGTCAACGACAAAAAAAGTGGATAATAACTAATTTTTGCTGCGGTTCTTTCAGTTTTAAACATGAAACTTCAGAGTTTAGACTAAAGTAAATTTAGTTAACCAATGCACTCCCGAGTAATTTTCTAGTATGCACATTGCATAGTGCCTGGAAGGCTGGAGCTGGAACATCTGGAATTGAGATTGTTTTAAAAATATTTATGTTAAAAATCAAAATGAAGAAATTATTCCTGACGTTTATTGCCAGTTTGTTGCTTGAGGGCAACTCCTTAGTGCTAGAGGGAAAATGGCATTCTGATAGTGAATTTTTTCTGTTTTTATCCAAATTTGGGTTTCAAAAAACAAATTCTCATGAAGGTGCATTTTCTGAAGGATTTATTTTTGGAAATATAACTTCTTTGGAAAATGTAAGTATTTTATTGATAGATTTTAGGTTAAATAATTTTTCATAGGGTAAATGCGGTATATTCTGACATCGTAGGTAATTCCGTCACCTCTCCAGCTTTTCCTTTATATTAAGCTTTGTTTTAGTTCCATGCGTTCATTGATGGTTGAAATGGTGATGTCATACATTTGCGTGTCAAAATACTGTAAAAACACTAGGTCTTGCTAGTCTGGAAAAGTCCTATTTTTGTCTGAAATATCGCGGTTCTAATATCATATAATTTCAGTAGGTATGAAATCTCGCGGCTCGAATGTCATAAATTTTTGTTTGATTAAAAAATCGCGGTTTGCACTTTGCAAACATGTCATTTCATAAAATTTTCAACTTCTGCAATCCGCATTGCTTTACCGTTCCCGCCAAAAATATCTTGCAGAAAAACCATAAACATCGTAATGTAAACAAATCAATGAAACGTTTTGTTGAAGATCGCGCATAGTTGCGGTCATGTCAAAGTGGTCAGACTGCACTAACGTGTGCTGAACTTACAGTAGAGACAAATTTTATTGTTGCCGTTTGACTGTTTAAGGGTAAGATTAGAGATTTGGGGTAACACGTGCATATGTGACGTTTCATCGTTGCTGACGCGTAGTGAAGTGTTTTGAGAGTCATGTGAAGGCAACAGAACTTACGTAACGCATACGTTTTTTTTATAGTTTTTCATTTCTCGATGCGTCCTTAATGTGTCGGAATATACCGCGTTTACCCTATTTAGTATAAAGCAGGCCTGACAGGGGCAAAGCAGCAGTTTTTTTTAGACTCTTCATCAAGTTCATTTTTGAGTCCTATAAGTAGACCAGGAAAGTATCTTGGATACCAGCATTTTCATACATAAGAAATTGATTAAAATATTGAGTAGATGACAAAATTTAAAATGAACTGATTCTAAAAAATCTCTGGTTTGCCACTATGAATTATATGAAAGCAGCAGTTACATTTTGAAGGCGTCTTTAATGTGTTGGCCGTCGGCAACACATTAAGGATGCATCAAGAAATGAACCACTGTGCAGAGGGTGGATGCAGCGTCGCCAATATATGGATTTTTAAGCCCAAAGCATCGCCGGCCATTTTAAAGATGCGTTGCCGGGTAATTTTTAATGAAAAGCCATTTACGCTGAGTAATGACGATTATTGACGAACTATTTACAAGCCACAAACTTAGTTACAAGGTTGCATGCACGTGTTACCCCAAAATCAGTGTGGAATTCTGTATAGGTAATATATTCTCATGTCAATATAAGAAAACGTATCGAAATACCAACCCTACAACCGCCTAACACCACCTTCCACTGCAATGAAAATTTATAAACTGAGCTCATTGGAAACTACGTAGCGTGCTTCCAAAATCGTGCGTGGTTTGAAATCCACTCCCGAGTTGCCAACGACTAATCAAGTTAACTAGTCGTTTATCTGTAGGCTTGCAGACACATTTTTGCAATGAATACGTTCTAAAATAAAAAAAAAACATCCAGCTTCAAAAAAAATTCTCACGATTGGAGAACACCCACAAAGTGTTTGATTTCACACAAAATTATGAGATAAACTTTGACTCTTTCACTGCTTACATTCACATGGCGTTTTCTGTTTACTTCTCACAAGACGGTGTCACACACTTATGTTTTGGTTGTGTCTAGTTTGATTTCACAATAAATAGACTTGATTCACATTCAATTCTGAGATTTAAATGATTGAAAGTTTTTTTTAAATTATAAAAACCTATTTATACGTTCCAGATTTGAATTTTTTGCCCTATTATGTTGAATTTGTCTTGATAAATTCACTTCA